TTGATGAGGAACTGAACCGTGACCTTTAACATGACAGGTGGAGGTACTCACCAATATAAAATGCACTAAACATTAATCTCAAACTACTTTAATATATTTTTAAAAAATTCAAAGTGTATAATAATTGCAAAACTGACTCAAATCTTCAAATACACGCGTCTCTATGGAATTAGATAATCAATTGTGTCCATCGTGCTAGAACTTATGATATTATTTGGTTGCTTAAAACCCCTTCTGATGAATCAGAATTGGAGCCCGTGACCTAGGAATTTTAATACACAGTGTCTAAACTAATAAAATATAAGTACAACTCAATTATAAAGGTGAAAATTCCTCAGCAATAGTCAACAGAAGACTAAATACTTCACTAGCCACAGCCTATCCTGCAGCTAATTTGGTTCCCATCCATCGGACGATATGCTCTTTGGTGCAATCAAAAGTCAAGAGATACCCTTCTCAACTGTGTATACAAATTTTTGCGTGTATCTGCAGGGGCAAATACATTGAGAGAATAGAAAGAAGGACAAGTTGCAAAAACTGTATCTGTGCTGAATTACCACCAAACTAGTGACATTTTATAAGGTGTGTGAAAAAAATCGATGATCCGTAATCAAAGCGTTCTGCATAACAGTTTGATAGCTAAACTTTTCTTAAAAAATATTTTCACTCAACTAAGAGCTAATCTTTAAGGCTTTTATCAACACTGACAATTGATTAGAATATTGAATCCTGAAGCTTTAGATCTTAACTCCAGCTAACACATGCTAACAGTCCACCTCTATGATGATAGTGAAATTGTAAAGTGCCATGTTAATTACTTGCCCTGTGTTCATGCTTCATCTCAATACTATTAATTATAATTTGCAACAAGGAACTCTGACAACGAATGAACCAACAACCTTTCCTCCAAAAGAAATGAAGTTGGACTGGACATACACTGAGGAGACCGTTCACTGACGTCATGTTCTCAGCCATAGAGTGAATTCTGAATGGAAAAACGGTGATTTTGAGGTGTGTTAACGGGTAACATGGAGAAGACAGTATGGAAAGGTAATGAAAGCATATAGGCAGTCCTGGAGCCAGCTAGAACAGACTACAGGGAGCAGGATGAAATTGAAGTATGCGCTGAAGATGTCACCTAGTAGGGTGATGAAAGCTTCGCAAATTAACTATCCAGCTCAGAGAACACAACCACATCGAAATGGGGATGTGCTGATAAAGCTCCGTGTTCTACTCGGAGCTCAAAGGAATAATATTAATGATGTGCTAGGAAAGTATACTACTAATTTAAATACTACTGTATTTCCTAGGTCACAGGTTCATGCACTTTCTCTTTCCTCTATAAGATGGCAATGAAACATGATTAAAATGAGACTAAAGCAGTTTCATCAACTGAAGTGATTACTCATTAGAGGTTAAATCTTCAGCTTGCAATAACTGCAAAGTTAATATCAAACACTACATGAATAAATTGCTTGATCAACTATTACAGAAATTCAGTAACTGTCAGAGATGGTCATCGTAAAGCTAACTATTTTCCAACTTTCTTTCTGAAGAGGCGCAGTCTAGTCAAATCCTTATACTTTGTGCCTTCTAATCACGCTTTTAATGAAACACAATTATATACACTGGTTCATTGTATTTGCAGTCTGTTAACCCCCCCCCCCGAAAAAAGGTTATTGATTTTCCTACTTTTATTCAAGGCAAGCAAAATTACTTATATGTTCAGAAAAGGTAAACTTTTAGAGTGCATCAACGGGATATCTTCTAAAGTACAATAAACCAGTTTTAAAGAAGTCTGATTTCGGTTGTAGTTGAATTAAATGACAGTCAAGTGGTCTGCGTGTGTGATTTCCGACTTAATTATCTAAAAATAGTCTTCTGTGTTACAGAACTGTACAAATCTCGAAAGTATTGGACAGTTTTTAATTACAACAGTTGAACATTTATTAAATAAGGCGATGATAATTAAACATGAGATGAGCATATCTTTCAAATAAGGCTGTCGGGTGCCTAGCACAGAATAAACAAAACTACTGTTATCCTGACCAATTTAAGTAGAATTAGACGTATTTCTTCCAACAGGACAATAATCCATAACATGCTTGATTTAGAATACTCAGTCGCCAAGTTAAAAGCCTCATTGTTGCCAATAAACAAAACAACTTCAGGTACACACAGATTCAATGAAAACGTAATCATCAAATATATGTCATCAAATTTATGCCTTCAGTAGTAAATAGGGGACACCGTTTATCATAATTTAGCTTTCTCAAAAATACTCATCCATTTCTGAATGGTATCTCTTGTTCTTCCTGGCACTTTTCAATTTCACTGAGTTATTACCACTACTGTTGATATACGGAACTATTTTATAATTTTACTACTTCGTCAAACATTTCGTTACTGAGACTATCTGTGGTAGTTTCAGGTTGACAGACTCAAATAGATGTATTGAGTGATTTATTAAATATTAAATAAACTTTCTTGGGTTTCAGGATATATATTCCCTGACCAATTGGAAAGTAATGGGAATCTTAGAGTTGGAGTTGCAGATTAACGAATGCATTGCACCACATTCATTTGCGGAATACTTCGATTATCTGTGCATTTTTGTCAACATTAAAAGAAATTATCTATAAGTGATGAAGTAGGTTACTGTGTGACCAGGTGTATACGTTTTTTAAATAGCGACTTTTATCTCGTTTAGGGACTCTTAAAAACTAGTGCTACTATGATTTCCGTGTTAGACATAAAATCTACTTGAGAGCCAACAAATAACGTAAGACATGTGCAACAACAGAATTATGTTTTGGGGGACATCTACGTTATCTAGTTTCCAAATTTCAATGCCTAAAAAAATTAAGAACCACATAATGGTGCAATAGGTTTTTTCATTTTTTGTGTCCCGAGTAGAGCACTGGGTTTCAAGTTTGAGCTTTGAAGCTTCGACAGCAGTGGCGTGCTTTTATGAAGTAAGGTCACTAGGCTTACGATTAGCCTTCCTTCTTTACTAGGCCTACTACTAGATAAATGAAGTTTGCGAATGCGTCGGCTGAGAATTGAACCTCAAGCTACCTGCCTGTTAGGCAAGCATTCTACCATAGAACCACCGACCCGCTTGATTATATGTAAATCGCAGTCATCTCTGATGAACCCCGAAGATGAAACAAACTATTACATTAACTAAATGCAAAATAAATTTCTGCTACAATCGCACAAACACGATTATACTAATATTTGACAAAATTCCAACAAATCAAATTAGATACATTCGGAAATGCTTTTTAAACTTACATTTTTTATCCTGCCACTTCCCCTATATCTCAGAGTTCTACTGAGTTTGTTGGAATTTTGTGCATACACTTCATAGATATTAAAATTACAGTACCCTAATTTGAATTATAGTCTGTGAACTAACACAAGTTACTGTTATATAAGCCACTATCAAAGATCAGTTGGTTCGTTGCCTGATATCTATCAAAGTTTGGATATTGGTGATAGGAATGATACTCAATTTCTAACAATTATAAACTAGATTTCAGGTACTAGCTGGTGTATTTTCCAAATGGAATAAAAACACGTGATTACTTTGAAACACCGTATTCCTTTACAAAAAAAAACCTTTCGTTGAAGCAAAATAAAAACATAACTCACAACCTTAAGAATTTGAAAAGCGACATTATTTTCGAAATGAGTCATATGTACATAAAAATTCTCTGTATAGGGATTAGGAATAGGAAGTGAGTATTATTACTTCAGCCGCAGCATTCTTATTTCATTTTTCCGCATCGTAATTCGTATCATAGCCACATTTTTTATCATTACTATTATTGCAGTTACCAGCATTTTTCACAAAAGTCTCGCGCAACTTACCCAGAAGTTTTGATCTCAAAAAATAACCACTTTTCATTTTAAAAAATAGTTGCTTCAATTTTACTGCACAGTTTTGCTCCTCATGTTACACAGTCTTTGTTAAACGTGTTAGCGTCCAATCCAATGCCTTTATGTCACCATCAATTTATACTGATCATCAGTATAGTTGATTTCCTGTTATCATATTTTTTAATTTAAGTAACTGGTTTTAAGGGGTTGAATTTCCATATAAACAAATTTAAGCTCTTAGAACAGGTATTGCAGAAGAGTACTACTTATTGAATACATTGTTTTTATTCCATATTCCATGTTGCAAGCTTTTACTCTCTACAAATCATCAGTTTTAATCCTGTGTTATCAAAGCTATTACTGGTATGCACCATTTGCTGCTGTGAGTAATTTCAGAAAAGCGAAACAATGCAGCAAAGAAAAGACAGCTAAAGTCCATTAAGTTCACCCTTTCTTCTAGTTAGTGGGGAAATTTATGTAGTTTTCTGGGATCTGAAAGACTTTTTATGTAAAATTAACGTATGGTGAAATATACAAGCAAAGGCAATTAATTCTTATGATTTCTTCTAATGACAGTTCGCAGTTTACAACGTTCCTTAAATTTAATCTAAACATTTACAAAATAGACTTGAATTTCACCCTTAGCCTTCTCAGTACCTTAGATTCTCCTGTCGAGATACTCCTGATGGCACTGTGCAAATCAGCGTTGCCTGTACAATCAAATCAGCTTTATGTAACTATTATCGCACATCGATAGGATTCTGCAATTAAAACATATCTGAATCATTTACACCTAAGCTCTGATCTTATGTCGTGAAATTCATGCAAATACGTCAGATATACACAGCAATTGAGGACGTTAATTGAGGTTATGAAGGTAGGTTATGGGGGATAGGTTAAGACACCGGATAAGTATTGATCAATAGCTCAAAAGTGAACATTTCCAAAAGTACCAACAGGCTTTTTAGTAATGATACTTCATTCACTGACAAACAAGTGATGAATGAACGACTACATAATTGTTTATCAATCTAGGCATAATCTCAAAATTTCTCAAAACTATCAAAGGTGAAAATATTCGAAACAAAAAATTTACTAAGTCTCATTTAACTTACTCGTAAAGCTCTAGGGGAATCCTCGAGTCACAAAGAAGTATTCCACTACTGTTTGTGAAACGAAAAAACTCTCTGGAGGAGTTGATAAGAATATCTGGACATCTTTGAACACAGACAGCTACTGAAAACTCCATGTTTGCAAAATTAGTATGATGCAGAAATCTAGAAATGTAACTTGTATATCCTCTTACTTCTGACTTGAAACATTAGTTTGCATGAACGAAAACGGCTTCAATATCCTTTCACTGCCACAAATGTTTCCATTACAGTCATAATTATTAAAAAGTATTTGAACATCTGAAGATGCCATTACATAAATCCAAACACCAAGCTGTCAGTCATTAGGGTGAAAAAAAGTTTACTCACTATTATAACATTCAGTATGATGAAGGCACAACCAAAAACCTTATCAGTAAATTTTGACTCAAGTGCCTCTTCATCATACATCGTATTGCCGCTGCCTCATAATTGACCTTCAGTTACCAGTCAGTTTGTCTTCACCGCTGCTTCAGAACAGAACAGAATTTAAATATCCAATATTTTTTACGAGCTAGTGTAAGCCAATTTGATTTCTTTGTACTCCTCTCTTGTCTATGAAGCAAAGGTTTCTGTTTTTCGCCAAATTTCTGCGTAGTTCTTCCCGCCACCTAACTGTCGTAGCTTTGGATGACTCCAAAAGGAGTGAGGCTAGAATTTATTGTATGTAGTTCGTAGTATACGGTGTATTAAGACCGTGTTGCTACTGTAAAAGGAAATGATCCTTCCACCTGTTGTTCATCCAGTGTCGTCGAAAAGAGGAGATAATGATAACAGATATAACTAGTGTGGGTTATTTAGACTAAAAGACAGGAAAAGAAGGAAAGAAAACGTGGAAACAGAGGGCTAATGAAATTTGAGATTGACACATATAGCACGTACAAATGCACACATATGAATACTGATCAATAATGATGGTGCAAGGGACGTAGTAGTTGGAGTAGTCAGAAAAGTGAGACAAGAGAGAATGTGAAGAAGTAAAACGATTAGTTCAGATGTTTACCCATTAATAATGTATGATATTTCAAGAGGTAGGCCGTTTGAATGCAGCCTTTGTGTCGCTGCTCGATTGTACAGCCTTCGCTTAAAGCTCTTTACAGACGGTGCTGTGGCTACATATTCCGGTAAGTAGTTCCAAGGATGGCGAACTGGCAGTAAAAGGAAGTGAGAGCACACTTGAGTCTATCCTTAGGGGATTCCCACGAGGAAGCCCATACGTACTTAATGGCAGAACACCCTTGTTCGAGTGATTCTGGTCATTTATAATCCTACAGCAGTAATCAAGTCCTCCCTAAGTCAACGGTAGCTAAGTTCGAAGGGACCTCATTTCTATGGCCGTTCACAATTTGGTCTGCTTTGGAGACCCATCACCTTCTCAGTCGCCCGTCTTTGGACTCTTTCCAAAAGGTTTGCGTCTCTTCTAAGCAGTGGGGGTACAATGGTATTGTGTACTTCAAGGTGTGGTCTGACTTATGTTTTGTACAACCTCAGAAAGTTCTCAGGAATGAGCGCACCTAAATATATATATGAAAAATATAAATTATTATTAGTAAACATCTATGTGTAAAGTGTATGACTGCATATTCCCTGGCTACATCCCCGTGTAATTCACGCTTGTGTCCACTTTCTTCTGTTAGAACTAGACCTTAGCCACCCTCCAACGTCTAGCAGGACAAGCACAGTGGTTAGGACTCTCGCCGACCATGCACATGGTCCGGGTTTCGATCCCCTGCAGGCGCACACCCGATATCTATGGTCGGCCTGTAAATTTGGGCTACCGATATCCATGCTGAAAATTTCATACTTGTACTGAAAATATGGTGTGGAATCAAGCTGTAATCAAAAATAAATAAAAATAAAATAATGATCAGCTTTCGTTGCACAGAGTGTTACTTGCATTTTTCTGCCCACTGATGAGCAATTTCACTACTTTGCACTTTTTCAAGTTGAAGGCCATTCCATTGGTCACTTCCCAGTCTTCAACGAACTTTAGGTCTTCCTGCAGCCTATCTGAGTCTTCCAAACACTTCACTGCTCTCCGAATCTGTGCGTTGCCAGCGTAAACAAGAGCCGGTCAGCTTAGACGGCATGGTAGGTCACTGGTAAAATCCAAACGCATCAGTGGCCATAGGATAGAGCCCTGCGTCAGTCCATATAATAATGTATATTTTCATATAAACATATGAATTTACGTGAAAATGCATGCCATTTTTACAGACACGATCAAGTATGATAAAATCTCAAATCATAGATTGTCTACAAGTTAATAATGTTTCAACAGCTAAATATTTGATATATATATAAACACACTCATTGTCTGAACCAGGTCGTATAATTATTGAATTGTACAAAAGTTCTCCATGTTGCGCGAGAAAATCGACTTCGTTTCGTTTTCAACCCGCGGTTGTAGGTATACGACAACCAACCAATATTGAGGTAAGCACTACATTTACATGGGGTTGAAAGCTGTTTTAGAAAAGTAAAAGTGCTAAGGTGAATCAGTAAAGTGTAATGAAATAAGTAAGTGCAATGTGTCATTAATAAATGCATTGCTAAAGGACATGCAATGGGAAACTATTTGATCCCTAGGCTGACAACGTTCATTTGCAATGTATAATGCTACCCATATAGGTCTTACTATCATGATGTCCACTTTTGGTTTTAATACAAATATCCTCAAGCCGGTTGTTTTTATTTCATACCTTTTTGTGTATTTGGTCACAACCGTACTCTACAGACAATAGGAATGGAATAAGTCGAATCGAATTCATAAGGAGCTAGAAAATGTTAGGTTTAATAGAATATAATGAGGAGCAAGTAAAGACGTTGTTAGAAAATGATTGAGATGCGACATTGTTAAGTGATATTCAAAGATCCGACAATGGAAAGCATATTAATTTATAAAATGCCTCATGAATCTGTGCAGAGCCCACGGGGTCGCATATCCAAATCATTACGTCAAGCAGGGATAGGACTCGATGCCTCGCAGCGTGATAGCTGCTCGAGCACTTACGTCTCCCCGACAAAACATTAAGTCGTCTACAAACAATTTGGTATCTGGCGCAACACCAGACCTAATGGGCCTAGCCGAGCACATGGTCCAGTCCAGACACCAAAAGGAACAAGTAACCTTGCCCAGCAACGTGTCGGATACGGAATGTATCGTTGCAAATATGGGCGGGATTCAGACTTAGAGGCGTTCAGTCTGAATCCCTCAGATGGTAGCTTCGCACCATCAGGCTTTCAACCAGGCATCTATACCAATTGTCTGAACCTGCGGTTCCTCTCGTACTAAACAAGATTACCATAGCAACGGCCATATTGTATTTCACTGGTTACTGTGCTCATTAGTAGGGTAAAACTACACGTCTCACGACGGTCTAAACCCAGCTCACGTTCCCTATTAGTGGGTGAACAATCCAACGCTTGGTGAATTCTGCTTCACAATGATGGGAAGAGCCGACGTTGAGGATCAAAAAGCGACGTCGCTATAATCCCTTGGCCGCCACAAGCCAGTTATCCCTGTGGTAACTTTTCTGACACCTCTTGCCTCAAACTCCGAAAATAATATTCAATATGACGAGTTGTGCCAGGATAATCGGACTCCATTGACCTTAGTGCAGAATTTCCCTTCAAATATGTAGTCCTTTAACCATGTCAGGTCATGGTAAACAGTGTCAAATGTCTCCTCGAAGTCTAGGAGGATCATACGGACTGGGGCATTCATTTTTCAGTACGATATCAAATCGTTCCAAGCTGATAGTAGGTTTGCTACACAGGATCTGCTTCTCCTGAAACCATATTGTGCATCATGGAGTCTATTAGTCCAGTTAAGGTGTTCCCTAATGTGATCACCAATTATATTGGCTGCTGATACTCAAATGGTAGACACAGATGAATCGACAAAAAATAACGTTGAAGTGTATCATTTGTACGCTGACACAAAAGTGAAAAGCCAGAAAACATCAAAATTCATCCCACTCATGTTCCACACATTTCCTCATAAGTCAGTTACTCCCCAGTCTGATAATCCATCCACTGTGAAGTACCGGCCCTATGTAGCTACCAAGTTAGCGATTTCCCCAGGTGTCATGACAAACGTCCGATCTCCATTAAGAAAGCCTAAGAGCTAGATATGTCTAAGCAACAGAATCCCTATATAACATGTGCTGGCTGGCCAGTTAGCCACCATCGGCCAGGTAGGCATAAGAAATGAGATACCAAAGTAAATAAGTCAAATCCCAAACCCAGAGCATGAAAGCCCATTGATATGATAGATAAGCAAGCACCACTAACCCATCTTGCTAAGAAAAAGTCAAATATGATATATCAAGCTTCTAGATGTAGGCTTAATTGCTCCCAAGTGGAAAGCCAATTATACCCAACCACTACGTAAGGACAACCAACACAGCAAGGTAATCGGTGCTGCTCTGCTCATCCACTACGCAAACCCGTCGTTAACCAGCCCCCTATGAATGTTCTATCAACCGAATGTTATAGAAGATCCCATAAACATCGGCTACATATTACATTCAGTAGGCTAAATATACACATAGAACCCATTCATACATCTCATGTATCTAGTAGGAAGCATGTGCCGATGTCTGCACAAAATTTGCTATGGTCTGATAGCTGCCAAGTCTTCATTCTTATTCTGGCAACAAATTAGCGGATACTCATATTGACTGTAACTTTCACAATAACACTGCCGCTACTAGCCTCTTCGAGGAGGATTTTTACCAGCTTCAGTCAACGGAAACACCTGGCACGGTGTATACAGCACTCTGGCATAGCGAACAGTCTGCAGCTACGGAAAGGCATACTTCCCAGGAAATAGCTGACACAGTGTCGGCACCAAACGCGGATGCTAATATCTCTAAAATACTAATATCTTTAAATATCACACATCTGTCTCATTGCATACCCTACCCAAATGACAGACCACCCCTGATTACCATCTCACAAACCTGTCTGAATTCTTTTTATGATCCAAAGATAGTGATCAGTATGTCTTAAGACACGTATACAGAGAAAAGTCACGGAGTATTTTATCGAGATATGGTTCGCTCATTGAAACTACGTAGTCAGTTTTTATCTATTATCGTTGTAAATACTAGATCAGTTCCAAACAAACACTTAAAAATCAGTACATTGGCTTCTATATACAGACCGTCATTGATTATGATCACCAAAGCCTAGTGCACAAGTGAATTCTGTAATGACAGCCTAAGAATTGATAAGTACAAAATTTTTCGAAGGGATAGAGAGACAGGTCAGGGGGAAGAGCACTAAATTACACTCAACAACCCATATGTGCAATCCAGTTCAGTAGCACAATTCTGTCCCAACTCAATGACTCCATCTGGGTCGAAATAGAAGTTGTCAGAAGTAAACCTATAGCTGTGGGTTGTGTGTACCGACCCCCCTCATCCAGCAGGGAATATGATAATATGCTCAGAAATATTTTTTAATGTTACAGCCAGTCTTTCCTTCAGTTATAAAATTATCGGAGGTGATTTCAACATGCCAGAAGTATCATAGTCTTCACTCTGAGGACCCTAAAGGTATGATAATCTCCTGAATTCCATCGTCACAGGAGGGTGAACACAACACACAAATTCACCCACTAGATCGGCAAATATCCCAGATATGATTATGAGCAATAAATTGTGCTCGAAACGTCATCAGTTAATATTACTGTACAACACTGTGTGATTTATCAAAATAAAATCTTATCCATAATGGAACCAACAGAATTGGCCTGTTGATTTAGTTTGTCTGGGTCTATTCCTTGAGTTGGAAAGTGTTGTATTGGGTGGTCTACCTTGGCTACCCTATACCAGATTTCCTTTTATTCGTCTAACATCGGCCACTAGTTCTGAGATTATTGGGTGCCTGCTCATATGGTTCACTTGCCATTCTGTAAGGCGAGTCCTCTCCATTATAGTACCAGCCATGCGTTCTAGCTGTCAAAGATGGGAGTCAGGATCTTGTGCGCCCTTTACCTTGCTTCAGAACAGCCTCCCCCACCCTGGCGTCCCTGAAAACTGTTGCAGGTAGCGCAAGAACTGTGAAGGGGATCTACGTCACATGTTCTCCCCTTAAAAAATCCATATGCACATTGGGTTTCTGAAATAGACAGTCCTTTCGGTATGTCTCTCTTGAGTATTGTAAATGTTTGCTTGTCTCGGGGTTGAAGTATAAGGTCCCACACCTCCATTGTAACTTTATGAAATAACTGAGGACAAGTGTCTCTATACCAAGTGGTCTTAGGCTTAATGCTAAATCGATCAAAGTAGTGTTCTACTTGGGTAAACCATAGTTGCAGGTCATGTCGGCCAAGTTTAGGTAACGTAATTTTGATAGTTAATCCCACCGTTGTGGAAGTATTGTTTTCAAGTAAATTTCCAAGTTTCTGTAAATCAGGTATTATAATGAATAAAAATATTCACCTCAATAATACATACAAGTGAAAAAATTCCGAAAAACGGAAATACATAAATTATAGCTATTTACAATAAGAATGAAGAGAGAGTGTGAATGAGACAGGCCTACCAATTTAGAAACGGACTTTTCTATCAGAATAACTACTCAAATTGAGCATGAACAGATTTTAATATCGTAGGAGACTAGTGGTGGTTTTAAATCCTTATTTTCGAAAGAGAAGTTCGAAACCTTCAGTAGACAAAGTTAGCGTCACAAATCATGAAGACAAAACTTCCTATTTTGTTACTCATCCCGTCCTTTTGAGTCCTTAAACACTTACTTTATATAAGTGGCCAAGGCGTACTATATTGTAGAAGCCCTACAACAGACAGCCAAACGTGATGGGCACTTGACTGAGAACCTTCAGCCTAACCATTGAACTTTGGTGGTGAATGACAACACCCATTGTTGATTGGTAAAGAGTGGAGAGTAATAATTTTGATCAATTCTTTAGTGTTACAGATCGATCATGCTTCTATCATCTAACACAACTAGATTTAGATATGATGGAAAAGATTTATAGCTCAGGTGGATGATTTTGATTTAGTTGTGTTCTCTGAGCTTGATAGTTTATTTGCGAAGCTTTCACTAATAAACTATCCAGCTCAGAAAACACAACTAAACCAAAAACAACTGCGTTTATACAGACTGATCTGCATCAGTACAAACATTTTCGGTACATTCTTAGTTTTTGTTGTTAGCGACCATTAGCGTTTTGTCCAAATGTCTGGTTTGTTCCGGCCTATTTCCTATTATTTGAAGGTGCAGGTATATGGTCTAATCTTGTCACTCCATGAATAACAAAAGACAGGAGGAATATGCCTGTTTAGCATAAACAGCTATGAGTGTTTTAATCTAATAAATTGTTATGTAGGTAAGTTTTGGCGCTGGCAATTTTATAAAAAACTTAGGAAATGTAGGTCTTCTGTTCTACCTAAATTGAATGTTTTTGGTGTCCTTAAACGCGTTATTAATCTAATGTGGGCAAAGTTAAACTTCTACAGCCAAAACTACGATGACCTTGAACAACCAGTCAGAATTCAGATGCAGAAAAGTCGCATAATCGTTGAAAAACACTAACAGATATTGCTAACTTAATATTACACTGTATAGTTGTAGCTTATGTGTTGTAAGAATATCTCCCAGTCAATACATGTCCTATAAGTGGAACTCATACACATTCTACTGAAGGGTTCTGGGTGCATCTAAAAAAAGTATTATAATAGTAAATATTTCCCGATATGATGCGATATGGTATGCAGCCACTTAGATTTTTTGTATTCACATTGTTTTTATGTGTCTACAGATACTCCTGTGAGAATCTGGGACCAGATTTTACAGCATCTTAGAGATAAACACCCTACATAATTCAGTTTTATTATATATATGACTTATAAATACAATTTCTTTCTAAATAAATATCACTTTTCACCTAGAAGAATATAATTGGTGGATTCAAGACCATCGGATTTTGGTGTCTATTCTTTACTGTTGCCAATTCATAGATGATCTGTAGAGAAACAGTACCATGCGCGGTATACCCATTCATTCATCCAGGGGACTGTAGGTCATGGTACTTTTGGATCCATTGATATTTCTGACTCTATTGAACCTGCTCCTAACTCTTACCGTAAGCCTAACCCTAACTTTAACCCTAAACCTAACCTTAACCCTAGGCCTTAATCTAAAATGCCATAACCCTACCTAACAGTATAGATTTGCAGAAAGAGTACCTTGTAAATAAGTACGATACTGTATCTACCCTCTCCAAGTTCAAAAAACAGACATAATTTGATCTAGAGTGACATTCCATAGCATTCCGTGTATCTGACTGGTTCTTGAAGGTCAACTTTTAAAACACCTTCACATTGGCTATGATACTTTAACTTCGCCCAAACCTTAAATTCCAATCGCCGTCGATTTCCAGTCGTAATTGCTGTCCAACTGTTTTCGCTATGTGTGCGTTTGCAATTGCTCATATGTCTTCCCCTAGGTTTCTTCTTGATTTAACTCAGATTTTCGTAAGTAATTTCTGGTCGATGCAGCTTAAGTTGCATCGAAATTTCTCCAGAGAAGAGAATTTAGGGGAAATTTCGTGTAGTTTTTCGGAGAAACCTGGTGATATTTTTGGATTGGGTATTTGCGAGAGAAATGTTTCTCCAAAATTTACAGTTTTTTACACTGATTCCGGCCTTTAATTTCTTTGGTCTGTTATGGTTATTGTTGAATTATTCTTAAATATTTGTCAGCTATGTTAATCATCATCTACACGTCTGTTTTGATAAAATTTTAAACCTATTGAAAGGTGATTAACTGTGATGAGTTACAGATAGGTTACCCTATCATCAGTATATCGATATTCTTAGACAGATTTTCGATCTCTATAGATCAGCACAATATATTGTCAAAATACACCTACTTCAGTATCTAATGGTTTATTAGGTAAAAATAGAATTAACAACCCAGATGAAGAGGATGGCAGAAATTAGAAGAAAGTGGAGATGTGTTGCTGAAGCCCTATGTTCCTTTCGGAACCAAAGGAAATTATAATAAGAATAAGAATTAACAAATTTTCGCCGTATTTCCTGTACTACATAGTACATATGTCGCACAAAAGAAACCGCGATTCCCACTACGTTCTTAATACATTAATGAGCACAAATAGTTTCCTCACACTATTGATGGTGATCGCTACATGGCATGATATGATGATTGATTAGTCAGAAAAGTGTCTGAAACTAGATAATTACCTGAAAAGTCGATTAATCCTCACAAATCTTCAGATCGGTGTGTAGAAATGAAAACCAGAATTTCTACGAAACAATAAAACGTAACGTGTTTTATCGCATTTGGGCAGCATATTTCGGATATTCCGATCAAACACGTAATTGTCATTCATACTCATACAAAGTAAGTAGGTTAAAAAAAATCCAGCGTTGAATCACTGTAAGTCAAAATATTTAGGGTCAAGATCACAGATAAAAGGTAAGGAAAGAGAGTGAAAATATCACTACTTAAATTAACCCTTGGTTTTAAACTTCACTTACGAAGGCAAATTATTTTCAACGAATCAAAGTGTATGACCCAAACTTGGTTATATATAGGCTTAAAGGCACTGTTGTATTCAATTTTATGACCTGTCTCTGTGACGTCTGACTAACTGACCGGGTTTCAGAATAAAACTTTGCACAAAAGTGCAACAGTTGAATTTGCCACACCCCATGTAGCACACAAAGGTAGATAGAAGAAAGGCGAAATTCCGAAAAACTATAAGCAAAAACGTACTATGGAAAGAATAGTAACATGGAAAAATGCGGCGATTTAATGGATACGAGTAATTACAAAGAGTGAATGCATCTGCATCAGTGACAACGATTTTCAGCCATATCACCAATAGTCTCCAGCCACTAGTTGTTAGCACCTAGAGGACCCCAACGGGGAAGCCTATACATCCTTATGTATTTGGCTCGAACTAACAGTCAAAGACTTGATGGATTGATCCCAGGTTTTGGTTTGACTACTATAACGCTTTTCCCATCTAATCTTATGTCAGCTAACACTGCTTCTTAGTGTTCTGTGAGATTTTGAGTTGTATACGTATTATAATTGTATTGTAAGACGAAACAAGTTGTTGTGACTGGAGTCTTTTCACTTGTCTCCTTACCTAGAGTTTTAGGTGAGGAAGGGAGGTCAATCGATGAGGTTATGAAGCTACGTAGGTTGGGGGGGGCTAGGACATGTATTGCACATACCGAGCCACTGCCTTTCTTGTCGAGCAATGTTACCTGATATAGGGTTGGGTTGGAAAACAGGTGGAGGTGGTCTTCAGCCGAAACCTGGCATCAATCTATGAAGTACTTAACAGTTGGTTTGAGTCATATAAGGCGGTGTAAACGGCTTGGTTGGGAACCTCAGGACGCTAAGAACCAATAGCTGGAGACTGTGGCGTAGGTGTATTCACTATTCTTTCTCCTGTACATTCTTCCACATTCTAGTGGTTTTGAATTTCTTTTTCTCTTTTCTGTACCTTTCTGTGCCACATGGAGTGTGGCAACTTGAAATGATGGACTTCTATTCAGAGTTTTACGTTGAAACTTACCCAGTCAGTCAGTCAGTTGATCTTATGTCACGTGATAATGCTATCTTCTTGTTATATCATTATGAAATATACTCAAAGTAATGCATTTTTGTACAACAGTGTATTGCCGTTCTTAATCAGTGATGACTATATAAGATTTTAGTTAACTCAGCGATAACACCTACAATTTGCACTATTTAATACTTTTATTTTACTGAATTTTGTTTTAGCTCTTAAACAAAATTCAAATTTTCAAATCAATAATAAGAGACTACTGTTCTCTGAAAACAGTTTTTACTACTCATTCGCACAATTATCAGATGAAATGAATGTAACAGAGGATTTCAAGTATATATTCAAGTTTTTGATTATTGGAGCTGCAGGCTCTGGCAAGACATGCATCCTACGGAGGTATACAGAAGGCAAATTTATACCAAATATGCCTCATACAATTGGTGCAGAGTTTGGCAGTAAAATTTTAAATGTGGATGGGACTTCGGTGAAAATTCAAATATGGGATACTGCAGGTGAGTTGTGTTTGCTGTGTTTTGAGCTTGTTGGTTTTTTGCAGAACTGTTTCAGCTTATTAAGGATGAAGGATGAATAGTTAGAACAATGTTTATAAACAATAAACTGAGACAGTCATGAATTGTGTTGTTGTAGCCTAGTTGTCTTATCCGGCTGTTGAATGCCTAATAATTACCGCCACCACAATTGTTGGTATATGACAAAATGAAACTGTCTTAATCCACATTTATATGAAGACTTACATCTAACTAAAATATAGTCGGTACTGTGCATATAAGGACCTATAAACTTTCTTCCCATTGAAGTTTGGTCATTCGGTTGTGTAGTAGAACAATGGTCGCTAATGTGCAGATAATAGAGGGCAAAAAGTACTGAGTGGGACGTTTTTAATGTCGATGAATATCTATAGCTTAGGATGTAAATGATTTCGTGAATGTGAATTAATCCTATAATCTTCCCTTGTCACAATACAAATTCCTATCCATTTATAATTTTTGTTACCCTAATTATGACAATCTCATTTCATATCCTATGCTTTTTTCTCATCTATGCCACTTGCCTTACTGTTTAATTACTACTTACCCTAGTTGGTTGGTGGTGACTAACAACGGAATCCAAGACGCGCATTTCGTCCTATTCGGGACTCGTCGGCTGAATGCACCAGCAGTCTCGTTTCAAACGCCAAAGCGTTATCCACTAGACCATAACTGGGCCATGAGAACTGCCTGTCATGCAACGGCTGTCAGTAATTATTTAATTCAATCTGGACTTTCCTGTTGGTTGATTGGACAGAAGTGCTCGACCTCAGGTCGACAAGTCGGCTCCTTGTGCAGATGCTTTTGCGTTTAAAACTATGGGTACTGGGTTCCAGCCTCAGTGGGGACACGATCATTCACTGAAAATTGCGAGTGCATCCAGGGGATGAGTCCCATATAGGATGAAAGGCACATCCTGGATCCAGCTGCTAGTCACCATCCACCAGATAACATCATGTTAATCGTTGGACCTCGTTGAAGTGTCTGTACCACGTACCGACATATCAAAAGAAACCGAACATTTCTGTCAAATACGATCAATGATCTTTATTACACAATTCCTACGTAACATATGCTGTTAGTCTCAAACCTCTGTCCAATATATATATTCTCGAATGGGTGAGAACGACAGAATGAACGACTGTGTATGAATAGGTTGTTATGTAGTTAGTTAGTGCTGATAAGTTGTCACTAACAATCAAACCTTGTCTGTCAAGAAGTAGAACATGTGATCAATACGCCAAGTGATACTATTATAGTTGTTTACACATTATATGGTTTGTGCTTATTGAGTCAATCAATATTATGAACGACATATAATCTTTTCAGGATCGATCGCAAACTAACTTCACTTACAGAACCATTAAAACCAAGGTAGTGAGTACTGGACAACTGTTTCTTCCTTCTTTGGGATTCTCAAGCAGTCAGTAATCATCCATGATCATCAGGTGACGAGGTGAGCTCGTTAACCATTCACCCACTCGGAGGCAATCCAATGGTCCATCAATTCTAACTATTGTCAACTCGTGACACATAGTGCGGCCACCATCTAGTGCCCCTTACACCCAACTTGATGGTTCCAGGCGATCACGACTTCCCACTAGAATTTATGGTGAATTCACCCTGTAGTCAGTCACCAGTAAACACTAGATTAATTTCCAAGTGTTGGTCTGCGGGGAATTTTATCGATTTCAAGATTAATCACGGGTTGACTTCAATTAGAGAACCACTGGAAAACCAGGGAGTATTGGAGATAGCTATTTCAACATTACACAAGCAAGACCCTTACGAGGGATCGAAACAACTGTCCAGTACTCCGTGGTTTTCAATGGTTTTCTAACTGAATTCAGTTCGTGGTTAGTCTTGAAACCAATCGAATCCCTGCAAACTAACAGGTGAGAAAATGTAGTCTTTTATTCCAGTTTATCTCTTCATATTGTTGTGTTCTACGCCTTGTCTAGTAGTTATAGCATCATATTTATTCTTTAGGTCAAGAGCGTTTTCGATCAATGGCTCGTTCTTATTATCATGATGCTGTTGGTGCATTACTTGTCTATGATATAACAAATCGTGATTCATTCAATGAACTTACCCATTGGTTATCTGATGCTCGAACACTTGCTTCACCTGATATCATGATTGTATTGGTTGGAAATAAAAAAGATTTACAGGTAATAGAAAATATACCTTTTATTAATTTACCTTTTACCTTTAATTGTCTTTTAATTAATTGTTATTTGGATAGTGTTATTATAAGACTGAGATTATCTGAAAAATGTGATGTGATGTATTTGCGCTATACATTTCGAACGATCTGATCACACCTTTACTTGTCAACGCGATATATATGAAAAAACTAAGGGCAATTCAATTAAACAAAGTGACAAAAAAGGATTTAAGCATGATTCACACAACGTTTGGTAATCCAATCAAATAAGGATCACTAAGGTAGGTTAAGAGTGATAATAAACTGCTTTTGAATACACAGGGGTGGCATATGCTCTCCCACCCTCACATTCAAAGCGCGATTACTCCTCCCTATGTATGTGTGACCACACACACACGACATACTTCTGAGTCGAAGAGATGATGGTTCAATAAGACGATCAATCTACAGAAAGCCCACTTGGACAGGGCAATACCTTAATTTTCACAGTTTCTGTCCATTACAATATAAGAGAGGCTTGGGGAAATGTCTATTTAATAGGATTCAAACTATTTGCACGGCTGATGATATAGACAAAAAAAACGAAATATTGGTGGATACTCTTGTTGAAAACGGATATCCCCTGAAACATTTAAACGGGTGTAGAAGTCAATTAGTCTTTAAACCTACAATCTATACCACCCCTAAGAAAAATATCTTCATCAAATTACCATATAACGGGGAAATAAGCAGTAGGATTTTGAGACAAAGGTTGAATTCGATAATCCGTAGAACCTATTATTGCAGCCCAGTTTGTAATTATCGAAAAGCCAAAAATACGCTCCACTGCAAACCTCAAAAGTGCACAAATGAATATGCCACATCCCACGCTATTTACCAATTTTCGAATGTATGTGGACACACATACATAGGGAGTAATAATCGCGCTTTGCATGTGAGGGTGGGAGAGCATGTCCCAAAATGGTTAGAAAAACAAATGAATTGTGGAAAACCAGTAGATGCAGGTGTCAGACTACCAACTTCGTCTATAGCTAAACACCTAATCGAGGTGAACCATAAGATTGATGTTAACTCAGCCCTTAAGGTCATCTATAAAAATAGTCAAGGGCGCTTATTGAAATACGCTGAGGTTATAGCTATTCGGTCGGTCGTCGGTATTCGACATGGAACTTTGCACATATGTGCGGCAGTTCAAGTCACCACACTCCATGTAGCACACAAAGCAAGAGAAGAAAGTAGGAGAAATGCATATTAGGGACAGTAAACAGAGGTGTGAGACAAAGGAATAGTAATAAAGAAGAACAAAACAGTTTCATCGGAAATCATAAGTCACAAGGAGTGGATGCATCTGCGCCACTGAGAACGATTTTGAGCCATGTCACCAATTGTTTCCAACCATTGGTTTTTACCGTCCCGAGGACCCCAACCAGGAAGTCTACATCTCCCTACGTGACTTAGACTAACTGTTGTGGATTTCATTGACTGGTGCCATGTTTTCGTTTGACCACCGCTAGCTCTTTTCCAGCCTGGCCCTATATCAGCTAACATTGCCCGTCGAGGAAGGCGGTGACTAGGCAGGTATGCGTAACACATGTCCTAACCATCTCAGTCGATGTAATTTTACAGTCTCGTCGACTGATTTCCCCTCCTTACCTAGCACTCGACCGATGCCTTACCTCAATATTGCTCACCTTAGTATACCACTTCACGCGGGAGATAGAACGCAGACACCTATGATCAAACACAGCTAATCTTTTCATGTCTTCTGCTCTCAATGGCCAGGTCTCACAGCCATAAAGGACAACGGAGCGAACTGTTGAGCAGTACACACGCCCTTTGGTCGATAGTCGGATATCACGTCTACGCCAGAGACGGCGTAAACTGGCATATGCGAACCTAGCCCTCTGTATTCGTGCTGAGATTTCGTCGGAGATCAACCCGTTGGGGCTGATGGTACTTCCCAAGTAAGTGAAGTGGTCAACGTGCTCTACCACTTCACTTCCTATTTCTAATCTGGGGATCGGTGAAGTTCAATCCTGCAGCATCATCTTACATTTTACAGGGGCGAATCGCATCCCAAACATACGAAGATTGTTGCTCAAGGTGTTCAGTAGACTGCATTTTGTCAGCGTCCTCGCCTAGAAGGACTATATCGTCCGCATATTCTAAGTCGACGAGATTATTCCTTGGTAGCAAGTCAATCCCTGAGTCGCTGAAGTGAGTTAGGGTTAAGTCCTTTAGTACATCTATGATGAAGTTGAATAGGAATGAGGATAATGGGCATCCTTGACGGACGACACTATTCGTCACCACTTCAGGTGACAACTCGCCGTAAGCCCTCACCCGGATGCATGAGTGCGAGTAGAGCGCCTTAATCAGTGCAATGTATTTTCTCGGCATTCTCTTTACAGGCAAGCATCGCCAGAAAACCTCTCGGTCTACAGAATGGAATGCCGCCTTTAGGTCAAGAAATATAATGATTGTTGATTGTTTTTATAGCTATTAATAAAACTGAAGCCACCCCTGTGTATTCGAAAGCAGTTTATTATCACTCTTAACCTACCTTAGTGATCCTTATTTGATTGGATTACCAAACGTTGTGTGAATCATTCTTAAATCCTTTTTTGTCACTTTGTTTAATTGAATTGCCCTTAGTTTTTTCATATATATCGCGTTGACAAGTAAAGGTGTGATCAGATCGTTCGAAATGTATAGCGCAAATACATCACATCACATTTTTCAGATAATCTCAGTCTTATAATAACACTATCCAAATTTAATAAAGGGACTAATTGTTTTAATTGTTATTTCAATAAAGACACTTCCTCACTAGGCAATATCATTTCGAGATGATTGGAATTCCGTACAAACTCTCATAATCAAAATATCAATCTCCAACCCATTGATAGCTACCAGAGGAATGGCCTAAAGCTGTACTAAGGCGCTGTGGCTAAATCGTGGCCATTATGTCAAGGTTCATTGAATGCTCATCGAAGGCATTAAGTGAGGATAGGGCTATATCGTGAATTGGCGGAAGGTGTAAGAATTCACGGGTCATTGAATTCTATTTCAAGTGGTTAAATGATCGATGAGCTTAGTCACGTAACCTGAAGATCCCCGAAAAGTCTCCAGTTGGGACAAAACAGCTGTCCAGTGCCCTTCAGTTTGCAGCGATCTCTAGTTCATGACGAAATCTACATTAAAAGCCATAATCGAAACTGTTATTCAGTTATTGTAATTCATTTATTCCCCTATCAAAATGCTAATTTATATCAAATCAAGATATGCAAAGAATCTGTGAAATATTGTTCCCGTCGCTAATTTGAACAGTCTGGTATTCCTCAGAGTGTTTAATCAGAAACTCTTGATATCTGTCACTTCAACTCAAAATATTAGTTCTTTAAGATTTCTGTTTGTACTGGTCAAGAAAAGTTTTGATGGGACTGTGTCGAAGATATTAACAAACGCGTTAGTCTTGTTCTGATGCTAGTGTGTGTGTGTGAGTAGCTCATACTTCCAAGGATTCCGGAAACAAAAACAAAGTAGCTTTGCGTAACCTTAGAAACTAACTATAGGCATCTAATTGAGGTCGGCCACTTGCCTTCACCTTTAAAAGTGTTATAATTTGTGTAGTTTCGTCTACTTCAAGGAATTTCAACATGAACCGCTGTAAAGTAAACCAGATCATATGACTTTTTATAGGTTGAGCTTTCCTAGGATTCTTTTCCCAAAATAGAAAGTCAATATACCTGATTCACTGGTCATCTAACAGAATCATCCTAATGTTGCTACATCCGTTTTCACTCACAGTACTAATTTGCCTTTAGACAGCCACTATAGTGTTTAGTTTTATCTTTGTTCATCTAACATGACACAACCTGTAAAGACAATTATTCTAACCTGTGTAGATCACTCGTTTATGCTGATATATAAGCGTGGCCAATCATATTGATGTAGTACCTATCAGTTTTAGGGAACTGCGCGTGCATAGATGACATTTTTTCAGTGTGTATTAGGTCACGGAATGTAAATAGTTTTACTGAATTTTGACTGTGGCAGTATCCTGTGACTCCTGTATTCAAAATCTGCTCTGTCCAGTCGAATGTTTTTCATGTCACACTGAACTATGACGCATAAAATAGGAAGTAAACAAAAAGAAGATTTCATAGATTTGTCATATTTTGGTCGAACTCTTCAGCTGAATAGTCTACCTACATTATTATTATTATATTATTGTCCCCTTGGGTTTCGAGTGGAACACAGGGCTTCAACAACACATCTCCACTTTGTTCTATTTTCTCCTGCCCTCTTCAGCTGGGTCCATGATTGACCAATCTCTCTCATCTCTTCCTCACACGATCTTCTCCATGTCACCATCGAAGTGACGATCCACTCCTCAACTCCCACTGGGATTCCACTTAAGGAATAATAGAGAAGATTTGTAGCTCAGGTGGATGATTTGCAATTGATAGTGTTCTCTGAGCTGGTTGGTTTAGTTGCGGAGCTTTCATCGTCCCTCTGGACAACATCTTCAGCGCACTATGTCATTCGTTGGCCTCCTTAATGTACGCCCGATCCATCTCCACTTTCTACTACGTATATGTTGAGCAATCGGCTCTTGGTTGGTTTGCTGTTAATAATTTTCTCTGGCCATTTGATCTTCAGTATGGATCCAGAGAAGGCAGCTGTTGATGAAAGTCTGCAAGTTTCTGACCCGTATAGAAGGACTGACTTGCTATTGTTGTTGCAAATGAGAATCTTGTTCCTTATGCTCAGTGCAGAAGATTTCCAAACTGGTTTCAAATTGATGAAGGCGAATCTTGCCTTTCCGATTCATAATTTGACATCTTCGTCCGTTCCGACTGCCCGTAGTTGAACCAATGCTTCCTTCCCAGATAAGTGAAGGCAGTCACGTCTGTTAAACCTCTCCCGTTGATTGTGATTGGTGCTGTTTGTTGTTGTTGTTGCTGTCCGCTGGTTATCTTCATCTCTGTCTTCTCTATGTTCACCTGCATACAGTGGTATAAATTACAATGAATCAGTCATGCAAGACAACAGTTGTGAATGCATTATAGGTCAAGTTCAGATAAATATCGGAGAAGGGGTATGCGAGATTAAAGTTAAAATAATAATGGATTAAGGTTAAGTTGTCACATCACTCAAATAAACAATTAGTTATAGGAGAAATAACTTGAAAATGTCAGCAATTGCAATTCATGAAGTCTTTGACAGTCAGCTTGAGCCAGCCACGTAAGAAGGTGTAGACTTTTTGGTTGAGGTTCTCGGGATTCTAAGAAACACTGTCTTAAAAATATTGGTGATGTGGTTCAAAATCGTTCCAAAGGGCACAGTTGCATCGATTCTTTTGAGATCTCCCATATCCAATAAACTGTCATATTCTCCCTCTCCTCTTCTGTCCGTTATATTTTGAATTTCTTTTTGTTGTCCTTTCTTTTCTGTACCTTAGTGTGCTACATAGAGTACGGAAACTTGAATTGATTCGCTTTTGTGTAAAGTCCCGTGTTGAAACTCAGTCAGTCAGTCAGTGACCGTTAATCTACGTTAGGGTCGTGTCTGGTTTATAGGGCATGTTAGGAAAACTGACTCAATACCGTCACCTCTTGATGTAACAATTACGATTATTATTATTATTTTAATTATCCCCATAGTATATTCAGAACAAGGGAATTTTCTGAGCAAACAAATTGTGGTTTCAATAACTTCTCCTTCCAACTCTAAAGTTATAAATCCATGAATATTAGAATACAATAGCCAGTAAAGGCTAATCAAAATTACATCAAAAACGTCTTTGCTATGGCCTTATGGTGGTGGTAGGCTAAGGTAAACAAAGGGGATGAATATACTTTTTCTTAATACATAGACGAAGTTTATTGCCATTGATCCCTATAGTTGCAGCGACGGCTAAGTGGATGTATTCATGTACCTTTTGGGTAGATTGTTAGGCACTCGATATATAACCGTAAATGACTCATCTATTGTGATGCATTGTTCAATATCTACCAGATAAGATAAAATAGCATTATTAGTTAATTTTGTTACTCCTTTTCTAAGCCAATCTGGCACGTGTTTACGAGTTTGCAAAGATAAACTCCTCTAAGCATAATCTATAACTTATCTTTAATACACTGTGTCATTATCAGTCTGCTTGAGTAATTCGTGTGTAATTCTGGAGTATATGTGTAAAACTTGTGCACTGTGGTAGTAAGTAATTCAATGTTAGCTTGTTTATTAGATATATCACACAGTGAGTGAAACAGTATTATTTACTGGATGATGTTTCGAACAAAATCTATTGTGGTTCAGAATCATATCAGTTATAGTCACACGACTTCGAAACTTGAGTTTTATAGTTTTCTTTGTCCTCTCCCATTTGTCGTAGGGGTAGTAGAATTTTCCAAATATCTGGGACAGGTGTTGAATCATTCTTATAACACTTGTTTGCAGTTGATTCGATAAATAAAGCTTCTGTTATCAATCTCTCCCTCCACCCTGTAACATTAGATTTCAAAACTGTCATCCTATGCTATCCATCCTATTGTATGGTTGTGTGTAATTGCATGTGGTGAGTGCTATCTACGGCTGAACTATTCTATAGATTTCTTATCGTATTCGGGTCAACTAATCTAGATTTTGGTGCTAGCTTTTTATGCTCAGTTAGTCTGACTACCCTTGTTCTACTAGTTTGACCTATGTATTTGACCTGACAATCACTGCAGCAGGGTATTAGATAAACTAAATTGTTTTGTTTTATTCGCTCCACTGGGAGGATCCTTTAACCGACATAGCTTGTTGCTAATTGATTTTGTGGGTTTCAGTGCCACTTTTATTGCTGGAGCATGGAAGTTGATATAATCTATCTATGACTTAGTATATATCACTAGTTAGATTGATTGGTTACCTTCGAACTGCACCCTTAAATAAAGTTTTTTTGGTTACAGAATTTCATCATGAGCTGATATCCGTTAGAGAACAACTGGAAAACCTGCAGAAAGTACTGGACAGCTGTTTCACTCTAGTTTGGGACTCTTCATCAGTACCCACCCACTGCCACGGTTCGAACCCAGGACCTTCTGGTTTCAAGGCTAGCGAGCTCGTAGACCATTAAGCCACTGGAACCCGATTCAATGGCCAGTTCATAAATTCTAACTTCTGCCAATTCACGACATAGCGCGACCGCTAGCCAATGTCTTCAGCGAGTATTTGTCCTCACAGCCGACCTGCTGCACTCTACTGGTCACGACTTCCCACTAGCACCCCAGATAACTACCTAACTGAATAGGGCGAGTGTTTAGTGAGCATCTCATCGGTATTCAAGTGTTGGTTTGTAGGGATTTGATTGATTGGTTACAGGATTTCACCATAAGCTGATATTGGTTAGATAACCATTGGAAAACCAGGGAGTACTGGACAGCTGTTTCTATCGAACCTCGATGGGTGCGTACTGACGAAGAGTCCCAAACTAGGACGAAACAGCTATCCAGTACTCCCAGGTTTTCCAGTGGTTCTTTAACCAATGTCAGCTCATGATGAAATCCTGTAACCAATCAATCAAATCCCTACAAACCAACAGTTGAATATTGAAGCTTTTTGTTTTGGTACCCTTCATATCCCGCTTTATTTTATCATCAGTGCTTTTAAACGTATACTTCTCTATTATTATTTATTGTAGGATACTGATGGACAAGTAACACAATGGGAGGCTAGTGCATTTGCTCAAGATAATGATTTATACTTCCTAGAAACATCTGCATTAACTGGTGAAAATATTGATGAAGCTTTTTATCAATGTGTACGTAATTTAATTATGAAAATTAATAATGGTGAATTAGATCCTGATCGATTAAAGTGTACACGACAACCCCAGAGTGGTGTTGGTGGTAGTGGTATTTTAACATTTAATGAACGTCCTAAACTGAATTCCTTACCACCAGTCCGTGTACAAAATGATTCAACGCTTTCTTATGAATGTAATTGTTAATAAAGCGATTCTTTTTAAATAATAATAATAATAATGTAAAATAATGGAGAAGATGAAAAGAAAATATTAAAGTGAACACTGTGATTTTTAATGCTTGCCTGGTCAGAATTCATTTTAAAAGCATTCAGCACAATTGTATTTTACATGTTGTATGCGTTTTGTCGTCTCTAATTTATGCGTGCTTATGTGTATGTGTGATTGAATGAATGAGAAAAGAAGTCAAAATTATATTTTTTCTATTTATTTATTTATTTATAAATATGTGCTTTTTGATCTCATCAACTCTTTGCTACTTCTATATTTTTTATTTATATTTTATATCTCTATTTTTGACTGACTTTCATGCATTCAATGCTTTCCTAATTTCATCCCTGAGTTCGAGTCCCTGCTTGAAATTCATTTCGCTTGATCGATAATGATATATACCCGTGTGACGTATATTTTTGTCATGCCTTAGCATTGTATTATAAGTGTTTCCTGTGCTACTTACTTAGTTAGTTAGTTAGTGAAAATTCGCTTACCCGGTATCGATTTACGAGCCACATACACTTATCGTATGTGTGTGTGTGTGTGTGCGGCAACTGTTGATATTACGGAGCAAGATTCAAAGCCGGGGGCTGAGTGTTCCACCTTGAGAATGTTGCTGATGTGGTTCAAAATCGATCTCAATCGTCTCGATCTATTAGCTCCTCATGTTTCTCAATTGTATTTATTCATTCTCTCGCTTACAATTTTTACTCACATCATTGTAGTTCTTTTGAATTTGTCTTAGTTTTCCCTAGTTTTGCATGCTACATGGAGGGAGTGTGACAACTTGAACTGGTACGCTTCTGTTAGCCACATCTTCCTATAATTGTTTCCTTTGTATTACTATACTGTTGATGGGAAAGAGGTTGCCATTTCTCCGCCTCTTTATTTTTGACAAAAAACAACTGTAACCTGAGTGAGTGATTGTGTGTAATACGTTTCTCACTGATAATTACCATCATTATCGATGGTCTGTCCTTTTTTTTGCATTTCGCTTTCCGCTTGATTCGTGATGTATGTATTTGTAAATATATTATTGATGTTGTATGTACCATACTTGCTGAGAAGCTATTTTATGATCTCAATGAACAAATATATAAAAGGTGTCGTGAATATGTTAAAATTTCAAGTCTGCTTTGTTTCTATTGAAGTAATTAAAGTGTCCTTTCAAGGTTAGTTTCGTTAAGAATGGCCGTCAGCTGGGAGCAGAAAAATGCTACTCACCAACCGCTTACAATTCCATGCAATTAGTAATGAGACGCACATATTGTGAGTGTGTGGGGGGTGGGGGCTAATGATACTGCCTTGTTTATTGTATTCCTTTACGTTCCGAGTGGAAAGTCATAGGGCTTCAAGCCAGAGCTTTTTGAAGTTTCGACAGCAGTGGTGTTTGTTTTGGCCTAACTAACGACCAGGCGAGGTAAAGGAGTGCGTCGGCCGGAGATCGAACCCCGGGCCACGTAAAGCGTAGTCCGGCTACTGTCCTACCACTGAACCACCGATGTACTGCCTGATCTTGGAAAATTCTACAGGTGAAGTGGGTTTTGAACCCACTGCTTGGAAGTCGAGTGGCTAGACCGATGCACCACAGCTCCTCTATAACCTCATAGCTGAAAGAAACATTTAAAACCAGTTAGAAAAGTGAATGACTGTTTTACCCTCATTTGATGATGATGTAAGATCTTGAGGTGAACCTGTTACCGCTCGATGACTCCATGATAGCCATCTTCAGAATGATTTTCATATACAGCGACCACCACCAACATCCTCTGTGCATGACTATCCTTGTGTAGTAATTGGTAATATATAACCCCACTGGTTACAGAAGAAGGGGTTGTGATTTATTGGTTAAGGACTTTGTGCAGGTCATGGGTTCCAACTATGTCCCAGCTGCCCAGGTGTGTGTGTGTGTTTATAAAGCCAGATATCGTGCACACTGTACTTCTGGTCAGCCCAAATGTCTACCCCTTGTGTGGAAACTTCTAATAATAGATAATGCATCATTTGAAGCAATATTGTTCCATTCGAAGTACTCTTCAGAGCTACTCTATGATGTTCTTCCTAGATTTCTTACGAAAAATTCCAATCATTAGGTAGAAAGTTGTTTGAAATGTTACGTGAGTATAGATCGCAACTCACTGTGGTAATTAGAAGATTAGAACAATTAGAAATGCAGTATGAACGATGTATTTTGATGGGTAGCCCAGTGATTTAAGCAGGCCGCCGTATTTTTATTTTAGTAAGCGCCTTTGACGGTTGAATGAAGCTTTCACTGAAGTGATTTTGTCTAGAAGGATAATGGAGGCCCCGCAATTGAGTCACTTAGCTCAGAGAACACAACTACATCAAAAAGTCAGTGACATTGGTAGAAATCAAGTGTTGGTTTACAGGGTTTTGACTGATCCTAGTTTGGGACTCTTCATCAGTATGCACCCAAGACTAGGGTTCGAACCCAGGACTTTCCGATCACAAGGTGAGTGCTCATAGACCATTAAGCCACTGGAAACAATCCAATAGCCCATGAATTCCAGCTTCTGTCTACATTCTTTGAAATCCTAAATGTCATTAAATAACTTTATACTTGCCTAATTATTTAAAAAATCAATAAGAACAATCTTATTAATTACACTTATACTCATATTTATTTACATCATCATAATATCACCATTAATACTTGTACTCTTAGTGTGTTCATTTGTGTGTATGTGTGTGCGTGTGCATATGTGAGGTATGTGTACATGCTAAAGGTCAAGAAAAAATGAGTACTCCACCAAAATTAAATGAATAAATAAATAAATACTGATGTTTTGTGTTACAAAATCAACCATGTCATAGAAACATTGAAATGTATACATTGAAACCTTGAATTTGTTAAATTTCCATTCGATTAAAACAATTTCTGAGAAAAAGAAATACACCAGCGGTTAATACATGTCGTTGAAGTTTCATAGAAGATAATACTTACAGAAGAGGATAGAGATGAATACCATTTGAAGTTAAATGAAATTTAACAAATTTAAACCGAGATATGCATACGTTTATTTTTTTATGAAGTTAGTTTCAAATAAAGCGCGAACAGGATATAACATGAATTTAAACAATAAAACAAATGCGGAAAAAAGATGGTGTATCGCTCTTCATAAACACTGATGACTAATATTCATAAGTACAAGAAAAAAAGAAACTAAACTGTCAAACAATCTTACTTTCTCTTTTTTTTTCTTTAATACATTCGATATGATGAGTTTATTGGTGAAATAATTTTTGATGGTGGTCTCCATGGTCTTTTATTCGGTTTATTTGAATGATCAATGCTTATAGCCAGATTCTCCAATGACGCGACCTTGAATACATGTATATAAACAAATAAATAAAAAATATCTTATCATCACCCATTAAAATTATTCAAAAGAATGGTTACTGAACCAAGAATATTCGTTTCGATAACTTCACCAGGTTCTACGGTTACATATCAATAATAAGGAAAGAATCAGGATTATTAATAACAACAATGTTTCTCTAACCGATATCACCACATGATGAAATCCTGTAACAACAATACTGTTTAAATAACATCGAATCAATAATAGTAATATCAATGAGTTACAGTTCAACAGCATCAACATAACAATACACACTGAATATCAGACAGAGAAATTCGGAAAGATAATAATAAAAATTCATGAATTTATAGTCTTCATCGAAGGCCGGCCAGGGCGGTATTAGTGGCTAGCTGGACTTGCCTCTTTTGCACACAAAGAACTGGTTGTTTCAGGTGAATCGCGTTAGCCTCTGCTGTTTGAAGTAACCGGTACCTCGATGTTTTGGCAATTTACTTGCTACCCGGTAGATGATGGAGAAGGATTGGTCATTCCTAGCTTTGTGGCCTGTTTGGACCAGGTGGTCTCATTTCGAGTTGTTCATGTTTCCCATCATATCTCTATTTAGCCACACCGGTAGATGTTCCCAAACATGAAGAGTCAAGTTCCTGGAGCAACGGCCAATATAATTCGTTCCACAAGCGGAGTTGAATTGGTAGATACAAACAGATGCGGTTAGTGTACGTACTTCATCTTTCAATCGAGGAATCACCATCACCATTTATATAAAGGATAAAACTATAATATCTTTGGTCATAACATCTTTATTTACAAATGTACATCTATTAGAAACAGTTAACCACATATGTGAACAAGTCGATAAATATTGGCATCCCAACGGAAATCCTAGAAGAATTGTTATTAAGATTTACAATGAATGTAAATTTCAAATTTGGTGGTACACTTTACTGACTAGTAGTCGGGGCGACGATGTGCTCCCCGTTGGGTTCCAGTTTAGCAGATTTCTCTCTAAGTAAACTAGAAAATGGACTTTTAAAAAAAACTCATCAAAAAATTCTCATTTTATTGCCGGTGTATGGATGACACCTTTATTTTTGTGATAATGATTCGAACAGGAACACAGTAATATCTCAATTCAATGAAGTACAATTTGCTATGGAATTCACTTGTGGAGAGGAATCCCAAAATAGAATTGCCTTCCTAGATGCCCTTCTCACAAGAAAAACAGATGGTAGTATAAAGAGAAATTTGCATAGGAGAAGCACATGGACGAGACAATATACACATTTTCATAGCTTCCTCTCCAGTATAAGAAGAAATTTAGTAAGGAACCTCAGCCACTACTGCCTTGGCCGGGCTTCGATGGAGACTATAAATTCATGAATTTGTATTATTATCTTTACGAATTTCTCTGTCTGATATTCAGTGTGTATTGTTATGTTGATGCTGTTGAACTGTAATCCATTGATATTTCTATTATTGATTCGATGTTATTTAAATAACATTAATGTTGTTAATTACACTAATTCATTCACTCACTATTATGTATATATAACTGTAGAACCTGGTGAAGAAGTTATCGAAACGAATATTTTTTTTGTTCAGTAACCATTCTTTTGAAAATTTTTTTAAGCAAAAGTAATATTAAAACATTGTACTGATTGTGAGACCAACTGAGGTAGGGAAAAATTCAACTTTAAACACCTACGGGACTTAGACGCACCAATGACTCTTGGCCTTTAAATTCAGTGTGTTTATGGTTGATACTAATTTGATGATAAATAAACAAGCAGTAACATACCGCACATTCACATAGTAGCTAAGCAATGCCGACGTTGATAGCAGTGAAATGATGGCCTGCTTCTCATATGGATCGCATAGTAAGGCTCATACAGTCTGACTAAGCTTTCTAAATTGATCTTTACACAAACCTTGTAGTTTCCAAAGTCCACAAAGATAGAGAAAAAAATCCAAAAGAAATGTGATGAGTGGAAATGTATTGGTGTAGGAACAAGTGAGTGAAGAATAATGAGAATCTGATAGGACTTGGACTTAATGGAGAGTGAATGCACCTGCTCCATTGAAAACGACTTTAACCCATATCACTAACGGTTTCAAGCCATTGATTTTTCAGCGTTATAAGGAGGACCTTATAGAGATAGTGTACCAATTTCTACCTGCCTCAAACGAAAGGATTCATGAATTGATGCTAGGTTTTGGTTTGGCCACGTCTAACTCTTTTACACAACCTTAGTCTATGTCAGCCAACATTACGTGACTGGGAAGGCAATGCTTTGGTCTGCCTAACATGTACACTAGCTATCTCAATCGATCGATTCACCTTCACAACCTCATCAACTGACGTCCACTGCCTACCTAACATTATACACCTAACCCCAATGTTTCTCATTTACTATATTAAACCAATTAACACAGGATATAGAATGAAAACATCTGTGGTCAAAGATAGCCAACCTTTCCACATCTTTCACTTTCGATGACCACGTCTCACAGTCATAAAGACGGATAAAGCCAACTGCAGCTTAGTATCCGCATCTTTTGATCACTAACTGGATATAATGTCTACACGAAAGATGATGCAAGTTGGAAGACGCTACAAAAGCCCTATTGTATCCGTGCTGAGATACTGTCAGCTGCATTTCAGGATGATGACGATGATGAACTATCAAAAGGATTGACTGAAATATCAGGCAGTTTGTCACAGCCTAAAACACTCCCATTGAACTGATGTGAATCACTGACTATCTCAGTTTACAAGAAAGGAAACAAGCTGTTGATATTAGATGGTTGGAGGCGATCGGTAGGAAGCCCTTCTTCACCGAGGTTTCGTGTTAGTCGGCACTCACCAGTCAGCAAGGCGTATCTGCAATCGTGAAGGAATTGATGTTCTTCCTGAGATTTGAACCCGCATCACCCAGTGCTGACTGCAGTCAGAGACATTACCACTGAGGTGAACGCACCTGACTGTACTGTGATGGTGAGCCACCTAGCATGGTGGCTACACTGCAAACTCGACTGATAGATTTCTGTCTGCACCAAAAGTGGGACTAGACACACTACACACCAGTTACTGATTAGTGTCCAATCGAAAAGGTAACAAGTCTCCCTATGACAATCATGAGGGGATCAGTGTGACTACCTAGAGTAATAAGTTCAATAATTATGTATAAACTGAGCTGTACACGAGAGGAACAAACCCATGAAAACCAGTCTGATGATATAATCTTCTTCTGTCGTCAGGCACTCTACTAGCTGCCGACTGATAGCTGCTACCTTGACTTTATGGTCGAGCTTGCTCTGGTGATCAAGCTAATCACATAATGTGATCTGCATAGTTTCGGTTTTCGAAGGAAACTGAAGTGAAATTTCACCTCGAAGTGTGTAAACTACAAATCGCAGGTTAACTATGGAATCGTTAATTTAGTATAGGAGTTATAGAAGAAAGAAAATGCAAAATTTGTTGTAGATGAAAACGATAAATCAGGCACTTTTCTGTTAGCATGTATGACATTTAACAATAACTGTTGAGCTATTAAGTTTTTGTTTATGTGGCGGTTGCACTAAATACATATGAAGAATTGGCAGAAGTTGGAATTCATCGACCGTTGGGTCGGGTCTCAGTGGCTTAATGAACTACGAGCTCGCTGCGTAACCGGAGAGACCTGGGTTCGAACCCTGGTGGTGGGTGCGTGCCGATGAAGAGTCCTTAAACTAGGAAGGAACAGCTGGCTGTCCAGTACTCCCAGGTTCTCAAAATGATCTCAGCTCATGATCAATTCCTTAACCAATCAAATTCCTGCAAACCAACACTTGAATAATAATTGTAAGCTTAAAATTGGATCAGAAGTTAACTGGTGGATGGTGACTAACAGTGGAGTCCAGGATGCGCATCGCGTCCTATTCGGGACTCATCAGCTAACTGGATGTACCTGCATTCCACAGTGAGTGATGAATTTCCCACCGAGGCTCGAACCCAGTGCCCATAGTTTCAAACGCCAAAGCGTTATCCACTTGGGCCATGAGAGCCACCGTCTGTGCAATGGGTCATATTAATTATTTAATTCAATTTTAGATCTTTTGCGGAATGCAGGTACATCCAGTCGACGAGTCCCAAATAGGGCGAAATGCGCATCATGGATTCCACTGCTAGTTACCATCCACCAATTAACTTCTGATTGCATGCCCAGACGTCGACGAATCATCTGTACAAGAAGCCGACATATCAACCTGAGACCAAGCACTTTGGTCGAATCAATCGACGGGAAAATCTAAAATTGAATTGAACAATTAAACTTGGATCACATGAAGATCTGGACATCACGGATGATCTATGTCACATGTCACACAGACTCCAAAATTTAGGAAAGAAATCCGACAAATTGGTGCAAAAGGCAGCGAAGAAAAGACTTTAAGTGAACATAGAGAAGATGGAAGTGATAAGGATACCTAACAACCGACAACAACAAATATCAATCACAAACAAGCATCGTTTAAACTGCAGGTGTGCCACTGATGAAGATGTCAAAGCCAGCCAGGATTTGATTGGAAATCAGTGGGGAAATCTACAGCACACACACTAATATCGAATTAGTACTGCTGTCTGCTTCAGAAACCTGACTCGTCAGTCACATAAAATATTATCAACAGACTTACTGCAGACTTCGATCAAATCAGCATTCGCTGGATTCTGAATGTCAGATAGTCATAAAGACAACTATTAAGGATGATTAATAAAGGAAGTCTGACGAAAAGAGAAGCAACAAAGAATTTATTATCCAATAAATATGTATAAAGGAAATGGAGGCAGAGTGGATACACACTGAGAAGATAATCAAGTGATATCATAGTATAGGTCTTTAAGTGGAACCCGAGTGGTCGAGTGTGATGTGAAGTAGATCGTGTGAGGAGGAAGTGGACGTTTCAGGATAGTCGTGCAGGCAGCTAAAAAAAGACTTCAGAGAATATAGTGGAGTTGTTGCTGTGTCGCTTAGTTTTACCGGTAATTCAATAATAATTGCAACATTTGTACAAGATATAATGTTAAAATAGACAAGTGGAGACGAATACATAAGGGTAAAATGTTTAATGCCTCTGTTATCTTGAACTAAAAACAATGAATCCATGAAATAGTAAAAATTATGACTGACTTTTCACAAAGGTATTAATTGTTCAAGACGCCAAAATCTTTCGAGGAACATACATAAAAGTAGATAAAAAATAGGATCAAATTGCAACTGGTAAAGATTTACGGAAAGTAGAATAACTAGATTAGGTACGGCGAAATTTATGTTACTCAAAAAATATACAATCGGTAATGCATCACACCTATAGTGTGTAAACGGTGAAAATACTATATTATTTTTCCCTTGAGTTGCGACTGGAACATACGGCCTCAACAACACATCTCCACTTTGTTCTATTTCTTGCCATCCTCTTCAACTGAGTCAACGATTGTCTAAACTCTCTCATTTCTTCTTCACGTGATCTCCTCCATGTCACCATCGAGGTGACGACCCACTCCTCGATTCCCATTTGGATTCCACTCAAGAGCCTGGCGCACTATGTCATTCGACGGCCTCCTCGATGTATGCCCAATTCATCTCCATTTTCTCCTACATGTTTGCTGAGCAGTCGGCTCTTGGTTGATTTATTCCCAGCCAGGGTTTCTTGTTGCTAATTCTTTCTGGCTGGCTAGCCATCTGATCTTCACTATGGGGTCAGAGAAGTCAACTGTTGATAAAAGTCTGCAGTTGTCTGTTGGAAATTATTTCCGTTTCACGCAGTGCAAGTTTCTGACCCGTATAGAAGGACTGACTTGACATTGGTGTTGAAAATGCGAGTGCAGAAGATTTCTAAACTGGTTTCAGGTTGATGAAGGCGTATCTTGCTTTTTCAATTCCTAATTTGACGGCTTCATCCGTTCCACCTGCCTGTAGCTGAAACTATGCTTCCTAGATAAGTGAATGCAGGAAGTAACCTCTGTTAAATCTCTCCAAATGATAGTGATTGGTTGTTGTTGTTGCGGTTAGTTGAAAATACTATGCAGCTGCTCAAACCTCAGTAAGTGAATTGAGGTTTAAACTCCGTAATGCAACAGCTGAAAGTCGATCGTCTAATCCAATAAGTCACTGTTTCAGCAGGGAATAAACACACATGTGCCAAGATGAACAATCTTGACCCATGTCTCAAGACAGTAAACTAAACATTAATTCTTATTTTAGATATGTCCAAACCAAGTTCACTTTTAACAGTTTGAAAAAATTTGGGCATTGGGTATATGATATTCATTATAATAAAGGTTTTTGTATTTCCCAATGAATGAAAAACAAAACGATATTGTTGTATTTACTGACGTTTCGCTATTTAATGCTAATAGCTTTATCAAAGTATTATTAAACCGGAATATACTAAATCTCATGAATGTGATGTGCAAGTCCACTATATAAACACACACTGCCTTTATAATTTTAAACACTGATCAAATCCAACAATCTACACTTGATTTTGATTTTGTTATCTTTACCAATTGACCAACTTGACAACGAAAAATCACCCCGTACTGACGAGCGATGATCAAGTTAGTAAACTTTGTTTTAATACTATAACAGATGTACCATTACCTTTGTTATTTGGTTTAGTGATCTTCAATGTTAGTTTAGCTTTCAATATGTCCTTTTAACTTGACCTAAGTTTATTTTTTCACCCCTTAACTCTTTGTTATATATATGCTGAGATTTTGTAAATCCCAGTTTAATAATACTTTGATAAAGCTATTAGCATTAAATAGCGAAACGTCAGTAAATACAACAATATCGTTTTGTTTTTCATTCACTGGGAAATACAAAAACCTTTATTATAATTAATTCTTATCTCTCTAAAGACACTAAAAATAAGTAGTTTCTGTGTGGCTCAAACAAACAGTGAAAGTTTTCAAAAGTTAAAATTGTTTTTTCAAATTTAGATAGTTCTATTTCAGCCAACATTGCTAGTCTAGAAAACAAATGGGTTGATGAGCCCTACATACCTCCTATCCATCTTATAGGTTGGCTTTCTCTCCTTACCGGATACATGAAACATAACCTCATCATAAGTGACCATATAATCAAAAAGCGCTAATCTTTTTACATCTACCAACTTGAACATTGATGCCTTACAACTGTAGATGGGAATATACCTATTGTCTGTACAGCACACCTGTACAAGCGGATATCATGCATGTACCAAAGATAACTCAAGTTGGTAGACACCATTACAGCACTTTTATGGGAATGTGAAGAAATCACCAACAGATTTAAAATTTCAGAATACCTTTCCACGATCATCACCTAAATGCAATGTAGTTCATTTCATTTGAAACAAAGTATTTGTGTGTCAGTGGCTTAGTGTGGTAAGATGCTCGTCAACTACCCACGTGGTTCAAGGTTCGATTCCTTGCAGGCAGACACCTACACTTCACTCAGTCGGTAGTAAACGCGGTAAAGAAGGAAGGTTGAGAGTGAGGCTAGCTACCTCACCCCGTAAAAAACAACATTAATGCTACTAAAACCCTAAAGCTAAAATTTGAAGCTGCCCGATGTTCCATTCGGAATCCAAACGAATGAAAACAATAAAGTCAAAACCTAAGAGTACTGTACAGCTGTTTCGTCCTAGTTTGAGACTCTCCAGCAGTGCGCACACCGCCAGAGTTCGAATCCAGGACCTTCTGGTCACAAGGTGAGCTCGTAGACCACTAAACAACTGGGACCCAATCCAATGGCCCATGAATTCTAACTTCTGCCAATTCACGACATAGCGCGATCACTAACCAATGTCTCCGGCGAGTATATGTCCTCACACCCGACCTGCTGCACCCTACTGGTCACGATTTCCCAAAACAATCCCAGGTAACTACCTTCCTGAATAAGGCCAGTCGCTAGTGAGCGTCTCATTGATATTTAAGTATTGGTTTGTAGGGATTTGACCTCTAATTGATGTCAGCTCATGATGAAATCCTGTAATCAATGAGTCAAATCTCTACAAGCCAATAATTGAATAAAGTTTAAAGTGCCTTACCTTTTTTAATTCCCATTGATAATATGCTTCAGCAGCTTGTTCCAATTTTCTACGATTCAATTCTTCTTGTTGCCTTTCTTTTTCTGTTAGACATTTTCGTTGATGTTTAAGACTTTGTTGTAGAATAGTGTCTTTTTTAGACTTCCTATATTAAAATTAAACAAGGTGCGTAATGAATTTTCAATAAAATATGTATTTACAGTTATAGAACTATTGGATAGCCAGGGAGTACTGAACAGCTGTTTCGTCCTAGTTTGAGACTTCTCAACAGTACTGGTCCATCGGAGTTAGCACCTAGGACATTCAGGTTACAAGACGAGCTAGTAGATCATTCAGCCACTGGGACTCAATCCAATGGCCCAAAAATTTGAACTTTTTCGGTCGGCGATACATATGGTGCAGCCGCCAGTAATGTCATTGACGAATAACTACCCTCTTGCCCAACTTGGAGGAACCCATCGATTCGCTAACTGATCTTAGCTGTAGCTGATCAAATCCGTGCAAACCATCACTTGAAAATATGCACTTACATACTGCATCAAAATCATTTAAACTTAATTTAAGCAGAATTTATACACTCCTTTAATGATGAATGGTGGAAACCATGTCCATTGTTTGGTGTGCTCAACATTTTTCTGCTATTTGAATCCTGTTTCCATTGTTTTAAATGTCTGACAGACTAATAAGCTCTATTAACCCCATTTCATTGGACAGGTATAACTTCATTATTGAAATTGTTATGCTGTTGTGTTGTTGATATGCTTAAGTCTGTTAGATGGTTTAAGGCAGGTGGCAGGCAGCCCTGGGTTTAGAATTCGTACTTGTTAGATCTCACCAGTCAGCAAGATGTATCTGCAACCTTGAAGGAAAGAATATCCCTTGTGAGATTAGAAGCCGGGTCACTCAGTGATTCAGTGAGAGATGACACCACTGAGCTGTTCATGCTCGTGAATGACCTCCTTTAGTACTATGGTGGATACACTGACTGGTTGCTGGGGAGTAATCAATCAGTGTATATGCCTAAGTGTATTTGCCAGTCCCTAATGAGGTACGGGTAACTTTGATGGTTACCTCAGTTTTGTTTGTGGTTCCACTAAAACTCCCGAAATCCACTAAGATGCATACTCGGTCAACTGATGAGTTGCAGGGAAGCTAAAACCTGCTGTATAGATCCCACCCATAATAACTATCAAAATCTTCGAAAGGTATTCAATGACAAACAAGAATGTTTAATTACTTCCTCAAAATTCCTCAAAGAGCACAGGAAGGTCAAAAACTTCAGTATGCAAAATTATTGTCGATGTGTTACTCCATATACTCAATTTTTTATTATTGATTTGTAGAAATCTGATTGGTTTCCGTGGATTGATAAAAGTTAGAGAACAACTGGAAACTAGGGAGTACTTAACAGTTGTTTCGTTCTAGTCTGGGAATTTTCAGTAACATATCCCATGACTCAATCGCGGATCAAACCCAGGACCTTCCAGGTTACTAGGCCAGCTTCTTGGCCATTCAATCACTGCGTCGGAGTCTCATGACCCATGAATTCTAACTGGAATTCATTCGTCAAAGTCAAGAGAGTAGATGTTTTGACCGGAACTGCGACCTAGTAGACTATGAGATAATATTAACTTACTGAGCTGGCTAATCTGCCCTAATTGCACGTCAATAACAACAATAACACTGCCGGCACGCAAAGACAAAGGAAAAGACTGGACGTTAATAATACAGCTTTGCTGTCTCAAACAACAGCCAAATTGCTAGTCAGAAACTCCGTGTATATATATATATATATATATATATATATATATTAACAGCCAATAGGAATCTAGCAATCCAAACACAGTGAGAAACAAAGGGCTCATGCCAGTGCGCGATAACTCTTCAAAATGGTTGCTTTAAGGTTTTAGGTAGAATTAGGCAAAACTAGCTGTATATAACAATAGAAGTATCAAAAATTCCAGTATGTGAAATTACTACGGACATATTTTTCATCTAGTCAATTTTTCAGATGAAATTCGCCGAAAAATAGAACTTTGAAAATTTTCATAAAATAGATATTGTTAGTATAAATCAATTGTGCACAATAAATGAACTTTTTCCCCATATTGACTGGTGGATTAAAAGTGAAACAGTTTGATAAACAATTTACTAACTTAAGCTGTGCGAAATGAAAACATGTGGGCAATCATGGAGCTGTAGTGCACCTTGAATGTTTGAACTTTTGTTTTAATGCATTCATGTGATATGGCAGCGCGCTTTCACAGTTCTTCAGGCGTGACTGCTCGCACGCGGCTCGTTCCCCTCTTGTGCTATCACTAAGTGCACTCTTGAGCTCCCTATCCCAGCCAGTTAACAAATTGACATTTAATCTGTTGGAAAAATATAATCCCTACCTGAACACATTGCTTAGCCTCAAGTCTTTTTACATTGAGGTAGTTTATCGCTACTTACAGGTTAGGTAGATTACTGATCAGGGTTAACGGAGGAAAACAAGTTTAGTAGGTGCTGAGGTTAAAAACTAGCTAGAGATTGACATCGGCACCTACAGAGCCAACCAATAGTGATGGTAAATTAAGTCAAAATGATACTGACTGTGACGAAAGTATATAAACATATCTAGGTGAAGATTTTGAGTTTGTGTATCACGAACTGATCTAGTTTAGTGCAGTATTTCAACGGTGACCACACGATAATTTTAATACCAATAAGACCCTAAAAATGTGAAGAACCTGAATTTCAGTCGCCTGATTTCTAGTGGATATCATGAATTTCTAATGAGAAGTCATAGCCTGTGTAGGCTGTGAAGCATAATGCCCATCTCGATGGCAGTTGTTGGTAATAGCGCTATATTGTGAAATGGCATAAGTCGGAAATTACGGGCAAGTTGGATACCCACCCAGTAATTGAACAGTCTACGGGATCCCCTCATAACCTGAAGTTAATGGGTTCAACTCCTCATGAGGTCATTGGTGTGTACTGCTGTCCTGCCAGCAATCCATAAATTGTAATGGTTCTTTATGTGATGCTGGTTCATGTAGAAATCTATGCTAAAATTAATTGAAACCGCCTCAGACCCGTCGGTGGTACAGCGGTTATTACTCTCGCCGATCATGCACACGGTCCGGGGTTCGATCCCCTGCCGACGCACACCTGATATCTATGGTCGGCCTGCAAAATTTGGGCTACCGATATCACATGCTTAAAATTCCATTCCTGTACCAAAAATATGGTGTGGAATCAATCTGTACTAAAAAAAACTTTTAAAAAATTAAAATCTAAATATCGGTGAATCCTACTCTTCCAGTTCATCAATAATCGGCGAATTACAAATGGAATTTCAACTAAAACTATTATCTTTTCACGAGATCACTTAATTTGAACAATTTTGTTTATTTACATCATATCAGAGTTTTCACTTGAGCATATGATAGTGGTACTTTTTAAATTAGATTAAATGAATATAAATTCACATGGCAAGTGCTTATTATTTTGTACGGTTGCCATAGTAACGGGAATCCGTGAAATAAATAATATAGCTGGTTAAAACAACTAATAGGTAAGGACATTGTTCAACTTGTTCAATTAACTGTGGACTAATGACCTTGATATTGATTAAGGTGAGCGTAATCTGTGTGGTAAGTTTATTACTGAGTTTAATGTTTCTTTTTGGATTTTTATCAATAGACGTTTTTGTGCACAAAAAAGTAACATGTTAGTTAAAACTTAGTTAACAAATGACCTTGAATCATCCCTTGTTTCACTAACTGCACGTTATTTGAAGTAATGACTCTTAATTATATGAATCTCATTTTGAATATGCTCACACCACTATTGCAGAAGGTTTGGAAGGAAGGAGTGGTGCCTACCAGTTGGAAGAAGAGCTACATTATCAAACTGCTAAAGAAAGGCGACGTAAGACCTTGAAAGGACTGACACGGAATCGTGCTAATGTTCACCCCAAGCAAAATATTAAGTTGCGTCATCATACAAACACTAAAAGATTCACTAAATGCTAAGCTTCTCCCGGAACAAGCTGGATGTAAGGAGAGAATATCATGTGCGGATAAAATCGCAACGCTATGCATCACAGTCGAGGAGAGCATAGAATGACGGTCAAGTCCCTGACTCACCTTCCTCAACTTTGCAAAGGCTTTAAATGGTGTCGACTGTGGGGTTTCCTGGTGGCTGCTTGAAAACTGGCCATAAAACAGTCGGCTAGAAGCAGTTCGAGTGGAGAGCCCATTGCTACGCCATCTGTTTGCCTGTAGATTTCATCGTTGAATCCAAAGTAGACGTAAAGGTGCAACGTAGTAACAGCTCCTTTAGATAATGGATCGGTATGCCGGCATCTATGCTGTTGCATTGGATGAATTCACACTGAAAGCATATAGTTTCTGTCAGTGGAACATTGGTGAACAGAGAGACGACGTCTGAGGAGACCGTCTTTTATTTGCGAGGTGGACATTTTTAATTGAATCCACGAAATCGAATGTGTCACGGAGGTTGTATCTCAACAACTTTTCTTTCACTGGTCCAAGAATTTCTACCAGCCACTTAGCGATTAGGTGATATGGCGAATTGATCATATCTAATATTGGGCGGAGTGGGACGTCCTTTTTGTGCACTTTGGGTAGTCCATACATTCATGGCAATGTAGAACCAGATGGGCGAAGTTTTTCATATAGTTCTGTATTAATAATCGACTCATCTTTCATTTTTTTCAATAAGTTGGTTAGGTGGAGCTCCGTCTGTCCAGTTGGATCTTTTTGGATCGTCTGTTTTTGAAATTTGTTGTCATCAGATAGAACTGAAGAGAGTTTTTTCACATAGTCTGACTTGTTAAGCAGAAATATTCCAGAACCTTTGTCTGGTCGAGTTATTATCAGGTTTTCATTTGATTTCAATTCTTTGAGTTGCTTTCTATGTTCTTTTGAAAGCGTATTACAAAGTTCAGGTTTTTGTTGATGCAGTTGAGGCAGCAATTCAAAACAGTTGATTTGAAGTGTTCTGCACTGTCATATGAAATTGGGACCAGATCATTCGTCTGACTAATCAAATTCTCGAATTGTACTTTGGTGTTCAATTCGTTTACTTTTGATGATGCATCACAAAATTTTGGTCCGAGCGACAACAGTTGCATTTGAATCGGTGAAATTGAGACATCAGAAAAACTGAATACATATTTCTCGGGACAAGATGGGAAAGCTGTTTCCTTGGTGACTGATTTTAGGCTTTGTTTAAGTTTCATTATGATATTTTCCTTTCTCTTCTCTGAGACTGTATCGGCGTAGTGTTGGAATGACGCACGTTCATCAACAGTCAAATCGTAAATAGCGTGGGAGCCCATTGAGACGTTTTGTTCCAATTCAGTTAATCTGGATCGGACGGCATCAATGTGATGTTGGGTGTGTCTTCTGAGCGTGCGTGAATTGGGAGATATTTGGTTTCGTCTCAGATTTATCCAGAATGCTTTCGGGTATTCATGCTTATTCAGACAGCTTTTCCAGAAGGAAATCTTCGCATTCGCTTCAGCAAGCTTGGTTGGTTTTAGTGTTGGTTATTTTAACCAAACAGGTGGGGATTGGTAATTGGAATTACGTAATACAAAATCGGTCAAGATAATTGGGTGTTAATGAATCTACTGTAGTAACAAAGGTGATGAGTTAACACAAGCAGTTGTTAAAAAGGAGTTAGGTAATAATATGAATAGTTTGGTGACTGAATAGTACTCAGGATATACATAGGAACAAAGTAGAGAATACGAAATTACGTAAGAGTTGTAAATGAATACAAGAATTATGAGCAAGTAGAGAAACGAGAAAACAAACAAAATTAAGTCATCAAAAATCAACAAAGTTGTTACCGTGATAGTAGAAGTGGTTGAGTAATTCTCTTTTGTATGCACAGCTCCGGTTTTTCTATGTGAATGGCCAGAGCTTCAGCAATACAAAGAAGACGAAACCGTATTGCCTTCGGTAGGTTATTCTTGTTTCTGTAGATTACTTTGAAGGAGGCATTTGTTGAGATGGAATGATCAGTATTAATCAGGTGTTCAATTGTCGCACCAATTATAGTACCACTATTGCCTTTTCGCAACCATGCTGGATAGTGTTCTTGAATCCTCTTGGACAGGATGAGCGTCAAACGACTCCACCGAAGCAGGTGAACTGATACATGCACACAGAAGTGGTCGAATGTGTGAAATTGTTCTCAAGTCTTCTGCAGATCAGTGGGAGACTGGAGAACACTATTCTTAGCGTTGCTGCAAAGAATATTCTTTTCAGAGATGATGTGATCCTTCTCTTGAGAAAATGGCTTGTTAAACCCCCCTTGAAATCCAAGTTCCTATAGAGTTTCTTTTTTGGAGTAAGTGAAGTTTCATTTCTCCAAATTCTTGGTTTGATATTTTTATCAATGAATTTTGGTGGGTATCCATTTTGGATGAAGATTTCTCTCAAATGTACACATACATACATACAAAATAACTCATATATATTTGCGATTGTACAGTTAAGAAAATGAGTTCGCTGAAAAGAGACTCTTTGCTGAACAACGTGTTTTATTTCCATTAATTGAAGAATGACAGTCTGGTGTTTTAAGGAATCATCAGTTGACTGCATTTTATTAGTTAATTCTAATTAGTTATTACACAGTATCCCTCGGTATACAGTTGTATACTACAAAGGGAATGAATTGTGTATTCAGAAGTTATATTCACCATTCTAATACCTCATTTCTTAAAACATACACACAATATTGATAACATAACTCTACATTTGTTCGACAGCCAACTGTTGATGTTAAACGCTTGGAAACATTTGTCAGGAAGCCCAGTTCCTAGATGTTTTGCCTGTTGGCACTGATCGGGAAGGCATATCATTAAACCTAAGAGGAACTGATATTCCCTCTGAGCTTTAAAGCCGCGTCACCCAGTGCTGAAATCAAACACGTTTATTATTATTATTATTGTTCCCTTGGGTTCCTAGTGGAACATAAGGGCTTCAACTGCACGTCTCCACTTGTTTCTGTCTTCTGCTGTACTTTTCACCTGCATCCATGTTAGTCCATACTGTTTCAACTCCTCTTCACACGATCTCCTCCATGTCACCCTTGGACCTCCCACTCGCAGCTTCCATTTCGGGTTCCACTCGAGGGCCTGACGTGATATGTCACCCAGCGGCCTCCTCAGCGAGTGTCCAATCCATCTCCACTTTCTCCTGCATATTTTTTGGGCGATTGGTTCTTGTTTTGTTTCTCCCCATAGTTTCTTGTTGGTGATTCTATCCGGCCATCTGGTCTTCAGTATAGAACGAAGACAGTTGTTGATAAAGGTCTGCGATAGGCTGTTGGAAATATTCTTTGTGACACACTGGCCAGGTTTCTGATCCGTATAGAAGAACTGACTGACTTGACGTTTGTACTGAAAATCCGAATTTTGTTGTTGATGCAGGCTGAGTGACGAAGATTCCTAGATTGGTTTCAGGTTGATGAATGTGTTTCTCGCCTTCCCAATTCTCGATTTGACATCCTCGTCCGTTCCTCCTGTAGTTGAGACAATGCTCCCTAGATAAGTGAATGAAGTAACCTCTTTCAAATCCCTCCCGTTGATGGTGATTGGTGTTGAATGTTGCTGCTGCTGTTGTTGTTGTTGTTGGTTGGTTATTCTCATAACCTCCGTCTTGCCTATGTTCACCTGGAGTCCCGTCTTTTTTGCTGCTTCTTCGACCCCACAAATGACCTCTTACAGGACTGTAATGAACACAGTGAGTAGTCGCTATAGAATAACTATTACTATATCTCTAGCCCAAGGTGATGTTACCGACTGGAACTGTGTTCACCGATCCACGATATACTTTGAATAACTAATCAATAAATAGACATTTGAAATTCAATCAGACTAATAATTATTTCGTTCAAAGTTTTAGCTTACAGAATATGTGTACACAAGTATAACACAATTTTTAATTACACCTTACTCATCAAATAATTGTAGCAGTGAATTTTTAAAAAAAAAATTCAGTTTAAACGCATAAAATATGATTGAAGTTTAGATAATTAATCTTATCTGAAATTAGATTTTATTGGCGTTCAAATTGAGATTATTAAAATCCTGAATGAAATATATTTAAAATTTCGATAACTATTATTTTATTAGATTTTGTCTAACTATCTATGAGTGAATTATAGCTGATGTAATGTTTAAACAAGGCGTTAACTTTTATGTTTACATCATGGATTTTGTAGTATTTAATTCAATTTGAGATTTTCCCGTCGATTGATTGGTTCGAAATGCTCGGTCTCAGGTTGACATGTCGGCTTCTTGTGCAGATGCTTGGACGATGTCTGGGCATGAAATTTGAAGTTAATTGATGGATGGTGACTCGCAGTGGAATCCACTAGGATGCACACTTCGTCCTATTTGGGACTCGTTGGCTGGATGTACCTGCACTCCGCACTGAGTCATGATGCTCCCACTGAGGCTGACGAGTACCAAATAGGACGAAATGCACATCCTGGACTTCACTGTTAGTCACCATCCACCAATTAACTTCTGATTTTTAGTAGTTTGAAATAATTTCAATATAGATTTCTAAATGAACCAAAATCAGTTACATATCATTGGAAAATATGGAAAAGAATGTTTCGTTCTAGTTTGGGACTTCTCAGAAGTGGAGACTCTCGACCTTCCCCCTCAGACATCGAACCTAAGACCTTCAGGTTACGAACTAAGCTGATTGATCACTCATTTACTCGGGCCAGAATTCAGTGATCCGTGAATTCTAACTCTGTCAATTCGCGACATAGAACCGCCTTCAAATAATGCCAACAATGAGCATCCACCGCACCTTGACATGGTAGGGTCTACCATCCCTAAGTGATGTTACCTGGTGACGAAGTCTACATTAAAATTAATCAATATCTCCACAAAATCCCATATTTTCAGTGTCAGTCTCTAGCTCACTGATGGTTACCGGGTGGATATCCTAAGGCGGTACTTAGTAATCGTGGCCGGTGGGGTCCACTCTTTCAAAGAGCCGAGCTATATTTACGAATTGAAGAAGTTAAAATTCACAGATTACTGAATTCTGGCCCAAGTGACTGAGTAATCTACCATCTTGGTCTCGTAACCTGAT